GCCGGATATGCATGATTTGACTATCTATACCGAGCATTAATAGAATAGAGTGATTTCTTATTCTCTTCGAATAATGCTATTCTTGCATAACACGGATATTAACGGATAGTAATAATGACAAGGGTCATACTCATGATCTTGATCCAAACTACCCGATCATTCGATCTAGACTCGACACGACTGGGCTGATTTCTGCAGCTTGGCCAGGGAAACACCCTCCCCCTCTGGGGTGAGCGCTATGACATAGTAGGAGTTTAGTTTCTACTTTACTATACTATACTAGTAATAGTTAACTCAATTCATTTAAACAAATTCCCTTTCCAGCCGAGGTTGTTCCTAGCCGGATCTCCCACCCGGACTTTCCTTCTACGTAAGGATACCATACTATCGCTAAAACATCTACATAGTATATACTAAGTAAATAGAATACTCCACCGATCCTCCGACAATCCGAAATCAATCATTTATTCAAAACTTCGCAGTTTCCCTCCGACACCCATGTCGACGATAGATATCATGCGAGATGCACGTGTTTATCTCATACTTTCCATTCTAATCCCTGATAATGTCTGCACGGGATTCCGTGGGGACTCCGTGACAATTCCACAATGCCTGTTCTGAAGAAAGAGATAGCGGAGAGTACTCGGGGAAATTTTTCCAAGGTGCTGTTCTGCAGCATGTGATGGACTGGGGTTTTGGTTTTGGATCCTGACTTTGTACTATGTATGTATGTAGTGGTGGAATGGTCTAGAGTGTCGGCGGTGGGATTTGGGATGTGTTTCTTGGTTGGTTAGGAGGGAGTGGGTGGATGGGTGGCTGACCGGGGCTTGAGGGTATGAATAGTGGATGGGTGGATGGCGAGGTAGATACTTGTTTCTTTGGCGTGTGTGTTTGAGGGATTTATTTAGTTTTCTAGTGGTGGTGTTGAAGGAGTTTCGTGGTTGTCGTGGGGGTAGAGGGTAGAGGGTGTTGTTGGTTGCGATTGTGGCTAAAGAGTGATGACTGTTAGAGAGGGTTGGGTTTGAATAAAGAAAGGTGAGTATTTGAGGTGTTGGTTCCCGGCAGGTGCGTTTATTTTTCTCTATTATTCGTTGGCAGCTTTTCTTCATTGTGTACTATTCTTATGGAGAGACTGTGAGATACTATGTGTGGTTTTGAGCCGGTGTTTATCACTATGGTGGGAGCGAGTCGAGAGTGCTTTAAGGGAATGTAAGTTCAATCTGTTCACTACTAAGTACCGCTACATGCTTGAAATTTGACCAGAACAATCGAAGAATACTCTGCATTGATACAGATGAAGTCGTGAAAAGATCATCAAGATCGACATGATCGACAGCTAAATCGTGGCGTTATTAGCTATCGCCATGGCGGAAGAAGTCGCGATCAGCCATCCACCATCCGCCATCAGCCATCATCAGCCACCCGATAAGCCTGTGTACACATCTACATTAATCGTACATACTACACTTCACTACAATTCAGTCCAGGTATATAAGAAAAAAAAAAACCATCACTCCATTTCTAGTCTATAAACTGTTTAACCACTGTAATCAATGACAACAGCCAACCGAACAGGTCCAGCAGAGAGGTTTCCGCCAATACCACCCACATCAGTCTCAGCAGAAGTATAAGCATTGTCAACCTCGGCGGCATCAGCCGTCATGCTGGAGCAAGTGGAGCCCAGCGCATCACAGATCTGCATACCCTGGACGCTCATATCATTGTCCTGAGCCTGGATAGCACTGACATCAAATCCAGACCACTCGCCATTGGCAGTGGATCCGAAGTCGAATTCACCCCAGGTGCAAGCATATCCGCCGCTGCTACCAGTGGGGAGGGAAGAGCCCTGGGCAGCACCGAATGCACCCTGGGTGTCCTCATCAAAGGCAACGTACTTGGTGTCACCGGGCGACAGGGTGAAGGACAAGGCAGAGTATCCGTACCAGCCGTCCATCTTTCCATCGGGGCCGTACTTGTTCCAGAAGACAACGGTCCAGTCCTCGGTGTTTTGGCCCGTCACTTGCATGACGTACTTGTAGTTGGAGGCTTCGGAGGCAGACACCTCGACCATGTTGCTGCCCCACGGGTTGCCGACGTTGCCGATGTAGGTGTCGCCGCTGCCGTAGGCGGAGGTCTCAGAGCCGAAGCCAGAGGTGGAGTAGTCGCCGTCACTGGGGGTGGAGGTCCAGTCGCTGGAGCTGGCGCTGCTGGTGGAGCTGGAGCTGGAGCTGGAGGAGGGAGCGGAGATGGAGACCGAGGCAGAGGCCGAGATGTCGATCTGGCGACGGGAGTGGCCTTGGACCTTGGAGGGGGTCGGCTGGCTGAGGGCGCTGGGGAGAGCAGCTGCCAGCAGCAGGAGAGGGGTGGTGAAGTACATCTTTCTTGTTCTTTTAAGAGAGTGTATGTAGAGAGAGTGTGTGTCGCGTCGAGCGAGTGTGTATGTGTATAACGATAGTGTGAGTGTAAAGAATGGATGTCGTACACCTATCGAAAGAGTACGACGGAGTCTTGGTATGTAAAGACTGTGTGGTAGTTGGAATCACAATGCCGTGAATGATCAGAGAAATAAAGGATGGGAAGGAAGAAGAAACGAGGTCTATATACCTGTGCTGATGAGCGTGCCATGGCTGTCTCTCTTCTGGAACTGAAATAATGGATGTGTCCAGAACAGGGAGGGGATGGGGTGCGTCAGCCTGGATGCCATGGATTGAGGTAGTGGAGGCTGGTTGACGCGGTGGAGGGTCTACAAGCCATTGTGGAAGTCAGAGCAAGCAAAGTAATCCCATTGGCTGAATATTGGCTTGGGATGAAGTTTGGAGGCATCCACTGCCATGAATCTGGACTGTGGTCGGTGGAGGAGTGGATTAGGGTTTCTTGGTGGTGGGGGGAATGGGTTTGTGACATGAGAAGAGTTGTTTGAACGCTCAGCCAAAGGTATCGGCTGTTTTATGTGTGTGTGACTGCCGTCGATTCATGCCTCAAAAAGTGGCTTGAGGCTGTTACTTGCATTGTATATATGTTAGAACTGGGCTGTTTCAGTTTCAACGGCCACAAGACTGAAGCATGAGACTGTGTCTGTTCGGTTGGAAGCAAAGCGGGCGAAAGGATCAAAGAAACGCCAATCTAGAGTGGAGTGGACGACAAACTGCTCAGAACCGGGTTCCCTATAGCCTGGTGGAGCTGTTAGTACGCACTAGTTTCGTTGACACTGGTTTGGCCAAGCGTATCGGTTTTCTGTCCAACTGGTCTTTGCTTCACCCTTCTATCACTCACCTTCAACCAACGGCAACCTGCCTCTACACCCATTCAGCCCCTATTCCCCCTCAACTTACCAGCAGCGCACAAAGCCCTCACAGCCAAGACAGGAATAAAGCCCACAAAAGAAGAATTCACAAAAATAATCAATCCACGAATTGTCACCATCAACCATGGTTTTGCCTTTCTGGGCCAGGGGCTCGAACCCAATGCACGCAAGCAGTGGTTCCGCCCTCAGGCAAACTAACAACGCTCATTGGGCGAAAATGTAACCGGTCCAGGGGAACATCCGTTCCGACCAATGGCAAAACATCGCCTACAGAATCCATGCACAGTCAGCGGTTATTGGGCGAGACTGAACCGTGGGTCAATAGCTCGAATTTCTCAAAGAGGGAAAGCAGCTGCTCCTTGGCGGGGCAGCACACGTTTTGAGGGCGTCGCCCTGTGCGCGGTGTTCCTGACGACCCAGCGTCTGTTGCCGAGAATTCCATGGACGGTATCCTTCCAACGGGGTCAAAGAATTTTCTTTCACGAGGGTCTGTTGTTCTGCTTGTGGGTGGGGAGGAAGTAGATCTGGACACTTTTAGTGTCGTTTGTTTATCCCAGAAGGAGCAGGTGGGAACCAGCACACAACTTGTGCCAATGCATGGCATTTGTGCGGCAATTCTAATAGCTGCTGCTAACCTGCTTCAGCATCGCTCTCTCCACAGTATGTGGTTGTTTGGTTGACACCCACGAATATTCAAACTGGATTGGAGTTCGAGGCGAACCGATCCTGCTTGCGAGGCTCACACTTTGCAATTGAGTTCAGCCATGGAGTTTGTGGCCAAGATTGATGACCTGGCAGAAAATCTTGGGGTGTGGCAAAGACCAAACGGTGCGCGTTGGATGACACTAAGCTAGTGTCTTGCTTGTTGCGATTAATGTGAACTAGCGTAAACTGGGCTGGTGTCTAGACTCAGCGATTACGCAGTATAGTGCACACTACAAGAGAAATGTCAGTATACTCATCACATACCCCAGGTGCAGTCGTCATGAGATAGCTGAAACCTGATTCTCTGCCTCCCACACTATGGATATACAAGCTTAAACTTCCGCTGTGGCAAGATGAGCTTCAGCATGTTGCCTCATGTAGCAATCTGGAGTGAGCTGTGCAATTGAATTGACTTTGCGTGTAGGAGCAGAGCCGGCTGAGGGAATCTGGTTCCGAGTGTGTCCGGTCGGGGCGTGTTTCACTGGCCACTGCGAGGTTAGAGAAAGGCTGTTATTCAGCGGGTGAGATATTTATGGCGAGACTAGGCAGAAGTTAAAGGTCACTGATATCATGAATTGGGTGTTCACTGACGTCTTAGTCTAGTGTAGGCAGTTTCACTCTTCTGAAGTGCCGGGGTTTTACACAGTGTCATATGCAGGTGAAAGTTGCCCATGTCTTTTAGACTAGCGACCACATGATATCATGTGAACAGCCATAGTTGGTGTCACTGATCTAATGCTGATAGCAGTCAAGCATGTCATAGATGTCCTGCTGTTGACCAAGGTCTGATGCAGATGCAACTCAACCTGACCAAGTCATCCCGGGATTCCGACAGAGCATACATAGTAGCTCTGCTCTATTCCCGATCGCGTCATTAACCAGTCACTGCTCTAACGCCCACAGCTATCCAACTACGTCTACCTTCAACCGAACACACTCCAACACCAAACCTACAACCACCCTACAACAAACACAACCGCACCTGAATGAACCGCAACCCTATATGCATTGATTAACCCAGCTAACCCCAAAACCCAAAAATACCCTGACAAACAAACCAGGCAGAAAGAATCCAGATCCAGAAAACTAACTCCTACCCCATTACTCCCTTTGCAAAAGCACCAACAACCCCATAACCCCCAACATAACCGTCTTCAACCACGGATGCTCCGACAGAAGAATCGTCACATACCCCACAAACGGAATATACCCAAACACGCTTCCCACGACATCGTCCCGATCGAGGTAATCCTGTCCGCGCGCATAGAGTTCCGTATCATCCGCAATGTTGTTGTCGCCTTTCGTGAGGAGCTTGGCTTCGGATCTGCACGAACCAGATTAGCATACTGCGCTCACTCTCCAAGTTCCTTCATTTCTGGAACGAATATAATCCGACTTTGGGGGGAAAACACTCACCCCTCACCAAACTGCCTCACCACCCGATGCACAATCGGAATATCCTTATCCTTGACCTGATACACCACGATCTCTCCGACGTTCAGCGTCGGTTGCGTATTCCGAAGGAAGAGGAGATCTCCGCGCTGGAAAGCGGGCTCCATGGAGCCACTGAGGACGACTACTATCGGACTGGGGGAGTTGGTGAGGACCGAGAGACCTTTCCACATCTGTAATTTTCCAAAGTGTTAGTGTTTGTAAGCAATTGATCTTGCGATCGTGTATTTTCCCCGATGGTAGTTTGTGATGGGATGGATTGAAGGTATCGTACCATAAATGCAGTGCTCAGGACCAGCCCGAAGTTGAGCAGCTGAATAGCTGTTTGCCGTACATTTTGGATTCCGGATAGCATGGTTGCGTTGGGGGGTTGTGAGGGTTGGTGGTGACGTGCTTGTGCTTTGTATGTATGGATGGTCTAGGTGGCCTTGTTTGTTTGATAGGTCGTGATGCTTATGTAATGTGTGGCTGGTGCTGATGGTTTTGGCACGTGAGTGTGGCGTGTGGTGGGTGTGGGCTAGCCGGTTCGGGATGTAAGGCTATGCGGTGGTACTTTGTTTCAGGCATTTGAGGGTTAGGAATAGGTTATCGGATCTATGCATTGTGAATCTAGTATATGCTATTTATACTGGTATCATGGTGTCTATCTACTCTTCCCGCAAGAGCGGTCCCCTCTTAATCGGCTCAAGCACAGTATACGGCTGCGTCGACGGAAGCGCATCCTGACTCCAATGCACGATTGCATGTCGGAGCCAATGCGCATATGTCCCGGGCACATTATCTGACCCATCATTCTCCCTCCACAGCGACCCGAGTGTCACATTCATCACCTCTAGGATATATCCGTGAGCGAGCTTAAACCCGAAACTCTTCATCAGACAAGCCTCGACGATTTCCCTCGCCTGCTTCTGCTCTGCGGTTTCCTCCTCGCCTTCCCTGGGCAGCGGCAACGACATGAGCTCGAATGCTTTCCGACCATCCCATCCAGTCATGTCATTGATCAGCTGCGACCCCTGCATGAACTCAATGCCATAGACATGCTCCGCGACATACTTCGGTCCATCCCAGTTATCTTCTTCATCCACTAACCCCATAACCAGGGTCATCACCTGTCCTTGGATAATATAGTCCGTTAACTCTCTGCACTGCTGCTCCGTCATATTACCGGTTCCAGTAAGGAACGGCAATTCCTTCAACAGCGGGCTTCGATGCATCCCCTCTGTACACGTCTTTCCTTCCCACAACTTCAACAGTAGACGATGACACCGCTCGAACAGCGGGTTGTTGCGTCTCGACACGAGGAAATAATTGGTAAGACTGCGCTCGTTGGCATCGCCAGCATTGTAGGAGAGCACCTCGAACCGCGAGTCCGGGTTTCCGACCGTCTCGCGCCACAGTCGATCCACGTCGCCGATCTGGATCAGTCCGACGTCGGCGTAGATACCGCCGTATTTCAGGAGTAGAGGTAGGCGAACAAGGTCGGATGTGTGCTGCTTTGAGTAGGTACCGCTGATGGTGCCTTCGGCGAATGCGCGAGGGAAGTTGTTCGTGTCATTGATGTCGATGAAGTTTGCTATGTTGAGAGGGGAGGACGGTTCGCGGTCGACCACACGTACGACCCAGCCGGCTTTGGAGAAGCGCCGGTGCCATGCTCGCACGTTTCGCTTGGTATATGGGTGCATGGTGGAGTAGCCGCTGTGCCAGAAGAGCCAGATGTTCTTCTCGTCTGTGACGGGTCGGGGGTGGAGAAGGTCATGGTCGACTTTGGTGTCAGAACGTAGGTCCAGGAGATGTTCTGGGATGATGTGTACCCCGGTTGGTACGGGGTATTGTTGACTAGGAATACCCATGTTATTGTGGTGAGCTGAGGATGTGGTTGGTACGAGTGGCATTGATCACTTGATAGTCGATTCGGGGTGGATGTGTGGATTCTGCCTGGGCCTGTCACTCTTTGGAAACTCCTTGGACTATACTGTTGTTGATTGTCGGCGACATGCAGGATTCCATCCTAATTTATACAGTTTTGATATCTATACAGTTGCCGAATCTGGAATATCCGCGACCCACCTGGTGGAGAGGCGGTGCAGCATCTAACATGAGTGCAACATGACTCATGGTGAGTGAGGCCTTCCGAGACCAATCAGGTCCTCTGCGTTGGGGCTAGTGCTCACTCGTGGTGCACATAAGAGTTCCCAAACTGTCAATGCAATCTTATGCGCGCATATATGGCTTCGTTTCACTAGATTCGAACATGGTCTATTCTAAGTATATTGTTTAATTGAATCCAGACCTCAGTGGTGGCTGAGTGACTTTGGTGCTCTGTTCGGACAACAAGAGCGGCAAAGTATGGGTTTTAGTGCACCCACGCGGCGCTAGTCCGGAGTAGTCGGATTGTCTTTGGAATCGGAGATGTCTTTAGGGCAATTCCCACCTTTTCTCCGGGGAGAGACAGCACCACGTAGACAATGGGTTGCAGGCTTAACGCTACTGCAGGTCTGCCATATTTATGATACAGTGCGTTGGTCACCGTAGGCGGGTCATTGTACAGCATCTGCCCGGTACATCCGAAGGTCCGGCGAGTAGCCCACCACCACCACTACCCAATATCTCCTCGCAATAACTGAACAGTGAATACGCTCTCATATGCGTGTCATGATGGCGCGTCTTCATTGGTCAAACTGTAAATGTGGATTTTCGCGATTCTTTCGACATCTCAGTTGGTGGTCGCTTTTTATTGGTCTGTCCAGATCATATCAGATCGATATCTACGGGTATGTGAATGTGTGTATCTAGTACTTGAACTGGGGCATTCCATGGTAGCACGTGTATTTTTATAGTGGCAAGCTGTCTTGATATAGTCTGTGTGTTGATACACATCTGTATAGTGCTGTAATTGATAGTTGTTTACTTTGGTTGTGTCATACATCCTTCATTGGGAAATGCCGGAAATACGTCCTATCCACACAATATATATCTCGACATCTTAGAGAGAAACAAAGCCACCATCACCGATCCACAAAGACATTCCTTACGGACATCTCAAGCAAAGCAAATAACTCAAAGGTCTCTGAATTTTCCAAAACCAGGCTGTAGCACAGTAACTAACAACGTACACGAAGCATCCAAACCCATGTCACATGACATCCAAAACAGACTATACCCAGAGCGGCCACTCGTTAGCCCTGGCTTCTGTAACACTAAAATGAAGCGACAAACACCAAGCCAGCCCGGCTAGCTCAATCGGTAGAGCGTGAGACTCTTAATCTCAAGGCTGCGGGTTCGAGCCCCGCGTTGGGCTTGAGGAGTTGTTTCTTTTTTCTTTCTCTATGTCAGTTTCTTTCTTGCGGGTGGATGAATTTTTGCCGGTCCGCTGTGTAGGGAAGATAGGATACCTATTCTGACAAGAGTCACGTGTCACATGCATATCTTCTGCAGTGTACTGAAATAACACGATGATTCGCCACGCTCGGCATCACGCTGAATAAATCTGCAACCCTCTCAAGGCCCTAATTGCATCAATCCAGCAACATATCCTTTGTCACGTGTAGTAAGCAAAGTTTACCAGCAAGAAGCATTATCAATCAACATATACAACCTTGACTCACCTCACATCAGCAAACGGCGTTCGGCCTCGGCCTTCGGACAAGGCTTATCCGACCACCAGAAAGAACCATACATCCTGAACCCATAAATACCCATACACCCCATAGAACCGTACCACAAACGTAGCACAGAGATAAAAACCCATCCACCTACTACCCCTATTACCTCCACCAAAAAGAGAAAGAAGGAACTGGGATTGATCATCATGCCCCCCTCCATCGGCCTCATAATCTGCAGCCAGCGCACTCCCCGCGCAGGCCCCCAAATCAGCACATTCATCCACAACACCATCCGTGAATCCTACCCCGCTGAAAAAGCCAGCATTAAGACCATCGACCTGGCAGAATGGAATCTCCCACTATACAATGAATCAGGGATGCCTTCGTGGATCAGCTCAGCAGATGAGTACGAGCACGAGCACACAAAGGCCTGGTCACGGGAGATATCGCGCCACGAGGCGTTCATTTTCGTCACACCGCAGTATAACTGGGGGTATCCGGCGAGTGTGAAGAATGCAATCGATTATTTGTTTCATGAGTGGAAGGGGAAGCCGGCGTTGGTGGTGAGTTATGGGGGGCATGGGGGTGGGAAGGCGGCAGAGCAGCTGAGGCAGGTGTTGCAGGGGGTGAGGATGAGGCCGTTGGAGAGGATGATTGGATTGAAGTTTCCGGAGATGAAGGAGGTTGAGAGGGCGGCTAGAGGGGAGGATTTGGGATTGGATCTGGAGGGGGGGTATTGGGTTGGAGAGAGGGAGGGGATTCAGGCTGCTTTTGGGGAGTTGATTGCTGCGCTGGATGGGGAGAAGGAATAGATGCGATTATCGTATGCATTGTTCGAAGTGTGGTATGTGAGATGTAACTAGTAATAGACTATAATTCTGAGGTTGAGATAGAAGACTGGCGTAAGAAGATACTGTCACAAGTTCATGATGCTGAGTGTTGCCATGTGATGCCAACCCGGCCATATACTTGAAGTAGATGATCAGATGCACGTCAATGTTGTACAGACAACCCCATCTCTACCCCGTAGTTATGGTAAAAACCCGCAATCACATTATTGATTCATGATCACCCAGAGAAATCAGATATTTGTGTCGAAGTTGAAGTCAGGTGGAGAGATGTCTTCTTGGTAGCAGTAGTATCCAGAACAGCTAGATGCAGGAACTAGACACCCCTGCGTACTCCACACCCATGGGCATCTCATGAGTGAAGCATATGATTCCCTGTTTGTCATGAGGACGCTGGGATGTATCATCACATACAATCCAAGTGGACTATTATCCAACCCGGTGTATAAGTAAGCGTATCAACTCAGCCACTATTCCGTGTGAGATGACCGACTAGCATAAGTCACTGATCGACACGTTCACTTGGAAGAAACTACTGTTATATGATCAAGCGTGTCTGATGGTCCATCTCTTCATTCTCATCTGCTCCCTCGTAGGCCTACTACCAGCGGCTGCCCCCCTCGAAACCATAACCTGCGACATCTGCATCCTCGGAGGCGGAAGCTCAGGAACATACAGCGCCATCCAGCTCAAAGATGCAGGGAAGCACGTGGTAGTAATAGAGCCCAACAACCGGCTCGGAGGGCACGCACAGACTCTATACCTACCAGATGGCAACTACGTCGACTACGGCGTCGAAGGCGTCTTCAACAACGAGCTCTCCCGTGACTATTTCCGCCGACTAGGGGTAGACTGGAAGCCCCTACTCCCGCTCAACAAACGAACCGACTTCGTCGACTTCTCGACCGGCGAACGCGTCGACCCGCCAGCAGGAATCTTACAAGCCCTCGTATCAACATTCATATACCGCTCATCCATAAAGCACTGGATGTTCCTCACAAGAGGGGTATACGACCTTCCCGACCCCGTACCAGAAGACCTCCTCCGTCCATTTCGCGAATTCGTCGAGGAACATTCCCTCGAAGCTGCCCTGCATGTGGTGTTCCTTTTCTCTCAGAATGTAGGAAACCTTCTCGACATGCCCACCCTCTATGCGATCCAGAACTTCGGCGTCCCGTAAGTTGACGCTCTCATCCATGGCTACATCACACCGAAAAACGGCATGTATGAACTCTACAGACAAGCAACGGAAACACTCGGTTCGGACGTGCTGTTCCAGACAAGCGTGGTTGCAACAAACAGGTCTGATTCCGGAGTGGAGGTAACAGTTCAGCATGCGAACGGCACCCACAAGCTCATTAAAGCCAGAAACCTCCTTATAACCTTCCCTCCGCTCATGCAAAAACTCCAAGGCTTCGACTTGGATGAAACCGAAACGGAGCTATTCCAAAAATGGTTCTGGAGAACATACTACGTCGCCGTGGTCAATAATACCGGTATTCCGGACAAGTTGTGGGTCACAAATACCGATCCGACAAACGGACTGGGATCTTTACCTCGCATGCCATTTGACTTTCTACTACAGTATATGGGAGCGCCGGGACATTCAACGAGCAAGTTAGTAGGCGATATGAACTTCACCGCGGAAGACGCGAGAGACCTTATCGCGGCGGATTTTGCGCGGATGAAAGCGAAGGGGACATATCCGATCCAGGATCCTCAGATCGTGGTGTTTGGGGATAGTTCGCCGGAGACGTTGATGGTGTCGCCGGAGGAGATCCGCAATGGATTCTATCGCAAATTGTACGCATTGCAGGGGCGGAGAAGTACGTTTTATACGGGATTGACGTTTTGTTCAGACTTTTCGTCGTTGATATGGGCGTATACTGAAACGGTTTTGGAAAGTATGAATTGGGATGTGTAGGATTATGCTCGTATATATTATGCTGAATTATATTTGCCGTCCCCAGCTGATATGAACTACACTACTCTATAAATAGACATCACCAACGGAAAGTACTTTCTTTCCATAAGATAGCTTATGAACTATATCATAATAACCTCTACTATAACCCCATGACGTCGTCAACCCGCCACAACACTCAAGCAAGTAATTCCAGCGCGGGGAAGCCAAAACCACTCAATTGCAAGCGGCGGCACAGTGTATCAAGAATTCACCCACCAGACACTAAGTACTACTTGTAGTACAGCATACTTTGTATCACCCACCGCAACGCCACCAATATGACCAGTGGCCTGACACATAGAACTGACACATTTGATCGTCCCATATCTCACCCACTGTACACTTTATATACACAGTAGACAGTCCAGACCGCACTCCGAAATACCGCACTACGTCACAGCCATTAAGGGCTAGTACTGCCTAGTACTCAGCTAGCCAGCCCTCGCCGATCCCCAAACCAAGATTAAGCGACATCCACACCCAATGAATGTAGCAGATCGAGGAGGTGACGATAGCGAGTTGTGGACAGGCATGGCCAAGCATTGAATTCGTCGGGCTGGTTGGCTGGCGGGGGGAACGGACGGGATGTCCGTCCCGCTGTCCATCGGTCGGCAGTGAGCTAAGCTTAGTACTTACTAGTACTAGTAGCCTGCACGTGGGGAAAGCCCGTCTCCCGCTTGGCTTATCGCTTGGATTTGGATGGTTGCGATCGGCAAGAGATAAGTAAGTTACTAGTACTTGTTTGATGTGTCGATTTTGTACTTGTCTTATCTATTGGTGGGTGTGAATGTGGCTGGCGTGATGATGATGATGATGATGATGATGAATTGGGGTGGGGTGGTACATACCCTAGGTACTACTAGGTAGTATAAAGAGGGGCTGTTGTGATCCCTTTTCCTTCGCCTTTATCAGCAATTGAATCCCACTATAATCAGAGCATTCTCCAAGACAGAATCTGAAGGATTTCCTTGTAAACTCCCATCAAAATGACCATCCCCCACTACGGCGTCTGGATCGCCCAACCAACACGCTACACCGCCCAAACTGAAGAAGAAGATCCCAAGTCGCCTCACATCTACCTCTACTTCAAAGACTCCTCCTCTTCCTCCTCCTCATCGTCCAGCAAAGACTACGAAGCCGCCATCAACGTCAAATCCACGGGCAAAGACTCCCGTCTAGTCTACTGGTTCGACCGAAACTTCACACACCCAATCACAGAGCAGCTATCCACTCTCGACGAGGGCTTCCACCTGCTAAAATCCTATTCCCATCGCAGTCGTCGACACCAGGAATCTTCCTCCAAGCTGCGGGGTCTGGACTTCATCCGCACCAAGGGGCTGGTGGATATCGAGGCGGGCGCTGTTCTGTCGGAGGCTGATACGGGACCGCATAATGCTGTGCTCGAGGCATTGGAGCCTATTTTGAATGATGCGATTGGGAAGAAGGCGACGGTGTATATCTTTGGGTCGTCGTATGGGTCGGGCATTCATGATGTGCATATGAATCAGGGGAGTTCGTCGTCGTATGAGAATGGGATTTATGAGGATGGTGCGTTGTTGTTTAGCTTTGAGGATGGGCATTGGGAGGCGGTGTTTTTGGCGTTTGCGTCGCAGGAGATTCCTACGAATGATAAGGGGGAGGCGGAGGAGGGGAGTAAGTCGTTGGCTAGTATTTTGGGGCAGTAGGTTGGATGAGGTGGTGTATGGGGTTTGGGGTAGGATTATTTGGCGGAATGTTAGTGTGGGTACTAGCTAGGTTCATCTTATGAGATACGATAGTGTCGAATACGTATTACTGTTTTGCATACTCAATCTCTCTATATAGCCATTGGCATGAAGATTCTTGAAGTATCATTTATTGAAATGTGTCCAGGGTCTATGTACAAATCTACTTTAAGTTAAGCCTTCTTCACCCACAACATCTGAGACTGGGTATAACTCTTCAGCCCCTCCAGACCCCATTCGCGACCGTTTCCACTCGCCTTCATACCACCAAATGGGATATTCGGAGCAACCTGGAAGTGTGAGTTGATCCACACCGACCCAGACTCCAATTGAGTACCGATACGTTGCGCACGATCGACATCCTTGCTCCACACCGAGGCACCCAGGCCCGTATCGGTGTCATTGGCGCGAGCAATAACCTCATCTTCATCGGACCATTTCATCAACGGGAGAATAGGGCCAAAAGGCTCCTCTTGCACCACTCTGGAGTTGTCAGGAGGGTTGTCGATAATCGTAGGGGTAACAAAGTAGCCCTCGGATTCAGTGATAGATCCTCCAAGGGCGGGCTTGAGGTTCTCTGTTTGAATAGAAGAGAAGAGATCCTTTAGCTTCCCGTATTGCATTTCATTTTGCACAGGCCCGAAGAATACGTCGGGCTCGGTGCCATTGCCGACCTTCAGATTTTTAGTGAAGTTGACGAAGGCTTCGAGGAATTTGTCATATATCTTTTCGTGGACGTAGAGACGCTTGATCATCATGCAGACCTGTGCCGAAACGAGGAAACTCAATGTGGCAATCTACTCCTTGGTTAGTCTTCAGTGCATTCTGCCTCATAAGATGATAAACATACCTGCGGTACGACCTGCTCAATATCCACATCCTCACAAACAATAGCGGGATCATTTCCTCCCAACTCCAAGGTAACCGATTTCAAGGTATCCGCACAATGGCGCATAATCTTCTTTCCAGTCTCTGTTGATCCCGTGAAGCTGATCTTGTTGATTCCCGGATGCGCCGTCATCAACGGCCCAATATTCCCATCGTCACTCAATACCTGTACCACACCGGGCGGGAAGATCTTCGCCGCCAACTCCCCAATCTTCAACGCGCAGTACGGTGTAAAAGGAGATGGTTTAATGATGATACAGTTGCCCGTATAAACGGCCGGGGCAATTTTCCCCACTGCTAGCAGCAGGGGAAAGTTCCACGGCACGATGCCTGCGACCACACCCATGGGGGTAAAGCGTTGGATAACACGCTGGTCATCAGTATCTTGGAGCACTTCATCGTTGAGTTCAAGTTGCGGAATTTGTTTGCACCATGTTCCGGACATGTTTACTTCGATGGCCGCTTGGCCGTGCGCCTTGCCCTGTTCTTGAACCAGGAGAGCCGTGAGCTCCTCGGCGTGTAGATCAATGGCTTCACCTAGGGCGACAACCTTGCTACGGCGCTCGGAGGGGCCCAATTTAGACCATGTTTTGAAAGCGTTCCGGGCGCTATCTACAGCACGGTTCAAGTCTGACGCAGTGGAGACGGGGACGGGTGGATTGGGCTTGCGCGTGGCCGGATTGAGGCTGTGGCGGGTTGCTGATGTGGTTGTGAGTTCATTGTTGATAGTGTTGTAGAAGGTCTGTAAAGAAATTAGTCATTTTGTGCCGAGGTATTATAGGAGAGATGAGAATGAATCGATACGTACAGTGAAATCGATCTTGTCCAAGGAACCCATTTTGATGTGTAAGGTCACGATATAACTCTGGGCAATTGAATTGACGTAGAACTATTTCTCTTGAGGAGAAGAGAATTCTCTGTCTTATAAGTTTGAAATATGAGCTAGCTGAGCTAGCATTTGTAGCTTCGTATTTGTATCTTGGCTGGCTGGGTTACCCCTCAAGCATCTCCACCTTCAGCTCCCCGGTGGGGATAAAGTGGGAATTATGGGCCGCATGCCGTCCCGACGAATACGAGAGGCGTATGCCGCGTGACGACGCGTGACGGCTGGAGCACATCACGAAGTGATGCTGGCCCAGGTATCCGTAGCGTAGACTGAATTATGGGCACTTTCTGATCGTCGGGATGAATGGCGTCTCGGGAACGACCCGAAAATAGGGAATACGGGTTTCGCGGGGCCCCGCGCCTCACCAGATCACTAAGCTTCCTTTCAACACATCCGGATCGAGATTCGGCTTAGTAGGTAGTCGACGGCAGATCAAATCGGGAGTTGTAGTGCCTTACGCCCGGAAGCCAGATGAGGATCGTAAACCCCGCAGGATGGAGATCTGCGAACGGATCAGCATCTGAAGGCTTGGCTGCATACAAATCCACGCCGCTCTTATCACGCCCGCCAATAAGAGTGTAATATGTAAGCAGAGATGTGAGGAGTCACATCAAGTTGTGCTGAGAACGGCCCGTTGATTCGGCGGGGTTTCTATCGGCGACAAGAAGCATAGGTATACTAGTCCATTGTACGGAGTATGAATACCCCACAAGAGATGTTCGCTTAGTTGTGAGGCTGGCCTAGTACTTGGCGGCGCATCAATAGCTTGTAATGAAGAGAGTACACATTTGATCGCTAGTGGAGTGCTTAGTAAACCTTAATCAACTCTCCCCGCAGTTCAGAATCCGGGGCCTGCTGCCTATCCCTGGTTTTCGGATATAACCAGGGGCCGGATTGAGAACACGGCAGATCCACGAGAGCTTATTGTACCTCACAGTCGTCATCGGACTCATTTTGGGGCATGTAAAAAGAAATGAAGCAGGACGGACACTTAAGTAGAAAGAATGGCCCTGTTCTTTGGCCGAACATGGGCGAAGACACCTTTCACATTGAGAAACCTCTTTCCCAAAGCTCTTACCTAAACGACCGAAACTATGGCTGCAACCGCCACAGCACTGGTGATGAGAGAGGTTAATAGCCCTCTTAGCCTGGAGAATATTCGCTTGGATGACCTGAGATCCGACGAAGTGCTTGTCGAAATCCATGCGACAGGCATCTGCCATACCGATCTCTCTTGTATGAACGGACATTTACCTGCATCTGCTCCTTGTGTTTTTGGACACGAAGGTATGAGTATCTCGCCTGGTTGCCCGTAACCCGCTAAGAGTCACCCAGGGGCTGGCGTTGTCGTGAAAACCGGCAGCAGCATCACACATCTCCATGCAGACGACAAGGTGTTATTGAGCTATGCTTTCTGCGGAGATTGTGAGCAATGCACCAGCGAACATCCAGCATATTGCAAGCAGTGGGTGCCGAACAATTTCGGTCAACAAAGGTCGGACGGGAGCTTTACCCTATCCTTCCCGAACGGAGACCCCTTGCGTGGGAATTTCTTCGGTCAGAGTTCCTTTGCCAGTTTGGCCATTGTGCATGCATCATGTGTTGTGAAAGTGGATCCTGAATGTCCACTGGATAGATTCGCACCACTAGGTTGTGGCTTCCAGACTGGGGCAGGTGCAGTTATGAACACACTTGATGTGCAACCCGGATCCAGTTTAGCTATTTTCGGTGCGGGCTCCGTAGGTATGAGTGCTATCATGGCGGGAAAAATACGTGGTGCAAGGACCATCATCGCCGTGGATTTGAATCAAGATCGACTAGACCTTGCGAAGAGACTTGGGGCAACACATACAATTATGGGATCTGATGAGGACATAGTCAAGCAGATCCAGGCAATTTGCCCTCCACATGGAGTGCAGTATGCCGTTGATTGTACCGGTGTTCCAGCTGTTGTTGAGAACGCTATCCAGGCGCTTGGAACTCGGGGAAAACTGGCGACTGTTGGTGCTTCAGCACCCGGGAAAACAGTCAAGGTCGATCTATTCTCACAACTGGTTTTCGGTCGCCAGTACGTAGGATGCTGTGAGGGAGACGGACAGCCCGAGAAGGTAATATGCCCCTGCACGATAAGAAACATCAGCATTACTAAGAATTCTCCAGTTTCTGCCATATCTCATTGAGCAAAATTCCCAAGGAAATTATCCCATTGAGGAACTCATCAAGAACTACCCCATTGAGAAATACGATGAAGCAATCAGCGACATGAAGACTGGAAAGACCTTGAAGGCAGTGCTATTGTGGAAGTAGCATTGTAGCCTCCGAGAAGTTCCATAGCTACCAGAACGCAATGACTTAGGATACTGGATGAGAATAATGATAGAGTTGATGAATTTGGTGGAGTTGTTGTAATGCGGAGTAAAGAAGCGATGGGATTAAGCAGCCTGATCATGTGATTCACACATCTACACAGATAAAGCAACTAATAAATATACGACCAGTCAAATTGTTATATTCTCATAAAACGAAATACTCTGTAATCTCATTCTAGTGCCGCATAGCAAATAACTAGATCGCAAGATTCTCTCATAATGAACAAATCAACGAAAAGAAAGCCCTATATCCGCTGCAGATACTTGACTATCTCCAAACGATCCTCCTTCTTCGCCAAGTCCAGAGGTGTATGTCCATCACCGTCAATGCTATCGGGGTCGGCCTTGCTCTGTACCAGAAGCTCGACGCACGCAAAGTGCCCTTTCTCGGCAGCTGCATGCAATGCAGTCTTGCCCCGCTGACAATGGACCGTGAAGTCAGCTCCGTGGAGTAGTAAGTATTGCACGACCTTTATATGACCGCTGGCAGCCGCTTCAAATAATGGGGTGTCGTTTCTAAATCTAGCTTTGGCGTTGGGATTGGCCCCTGCTTTGAGAAGCAGTCGTGTTAATCCGTTGTGACCCATCCTGGCAGCGTAATGCAGTGCGGTAAGTTCCCAATCATCGGTTGTGGTGTTTGGATCACCTCCCCTTTCAATGAACCTCTTCACCGATGGCATATTACCTGCTTTAGCTGCTTCCACCAGCCTTCTTCCGTAGTCTTTCCGGAGGCGAGGGTCAATTGACTGCAGGGATGGTCGTGAAACAGGCGGTTGTGGAGAACTGTTTCGATCCGCTCGTTTCTTTTCAATGTCAATCTTCTTTGGCTGTTGACAAGGCAGCTCAACCGATACAGGTGCAGATTGAAAAGAACGTGCTGCCTGTGTATAACTTGGCGGAGGTTCGCAAGTTATTGGTTGTTGTTGTTGTTGGTGAAACTGCGATTTGTGGACGGAAACGTTCTGGGGATAATTTCTGACCCCCGGGTTGCCCCCGTGTGCTGGAACACCCAAACTGATATTCTCCGGAACCTCAACCTCAGGAGGGCCGGGTGAAACGATAGCTATGTGATCGCTGTTAGGATCTTCCGTTAAAGAAGAGACAAACAAAGTGTGGATGGGGTACCCACCATCTGGGGTGACCGAGCCCTCAATCAGAAGCAGTAGGTCTTTTGTGTAAGCAGCTGCTGTAAGCGCTGCATATCCCTGCCACATATCATTCTTATGGGAGTCCGAGTAGTCGCAAATGCCTCGAATAACAAGACACTCGAATGCTTCCTGATGAATCAAAATCAGAAACTAACTTCATGGTACTAATCGTGGTACCTCCATCACTTACCAATGCACCCGCTGCTTCCATCTCAAAGCACAGAATGTTATGCTTTTCTCTCAGCCGCTCCCGAAACTTCCCATTCTTGATGACCTGGTTTCCCGATCCGATAAGTCCGTAGTGAATGCGTGGTTCATTCGTCTTCCGTGTCCTTCGGCTCATCACCATGCTGTTACTGCAATTGGCGCAGTCATCTCCAGACACATGGTCATAGTCCGCACGGTATAAGACATCATTAACCATACCAGGGTGAGAGAAATCATCACACATTCTGGGATATTTCTCCAGTGCTTCGTTGATGGCACCCGACAAATCGTTATCGATCATCATATACCTTGCCCTCATGACGTTAATGGCTGCCAAGGCTTTCCGTGCTGGTTTTCGAATGACTCCCGTAGTAGTAATATCTTCGTCCAGTCCTCGCTTGCCGAGATCGTATTGCAGCACGCCAGGATACCCGGCAACTGGAGTGCTGACCACCACATCTCCTAAGCGAATATCATTGGTTCTGCTTGGCACACCACCTCCGATACCAACCAGCAAAGCGAACTGTATTTTCGGAAAGGCACGTTTCATCATGTTTGCGGCAAGGGCTGCCTGAGCGACTCCATAGCCACCGGAGGGTAAGACGGCCAACACAACGTTATGACCGCCGATCTGACCAAACTCATATTGGTTATCGTCGAACCCTGACAGGATTTCCAGGTCGGATGGTCTGCCATGTCCCATGTCTAACATGGCTTTTGCTGCCGTGAGCTCGAGCGCTAAGGCGCAGACCCAGCCCACTCGATAGTCGGCGCACCGTAGTGATTGTTGAGGGCCGTATGCGCGCAAAGCTCTTTCATGAGGAGTTCAAACGAGACAGAAAGGATATAAGAGGCAACCTGTGTGAAAGGAAATTGAGAGTTTGTCTCTTTCTGCGAGGGGCATTGTCGACTTTTGTAGTATTATTGATAGTCTGCTCAGTGTTGGGCCGCAAAGCAATGCCATCCCTTTATCAGCAGTCATTGCCAGCTGGTTGTAGGTATAACTCAGCTTTACAAGTGTTCGGGCAGCTATACGTTCACAGATATGTGTTCAAGGCTCCTTTCAACTCTCGGAATCCCACGGAAAACGTTCTATGGCTTCTCTGGCGTTCAGAATGTATACATGAAACAGTTGAGCGATGGCGCCTGAAGCAACGGGTATGAAATGTTCTTGAGAGCTTGGTTGGCGGTCTTCAAGCTATCCCAAAAGCTTGAGCATACACTCTAGTGATTTCAGGAATGCCGGTGTTTTTTTTTTTTTTTTTTTTTTTTTTTTTTTTTTTTTTTTTTTTTTTTTTTTTTTTTTTTTTTTTTTTTTTTTTTTTTTTTTTTTTTTCGGATGTTATGCATTTATCTATATTTGAATGGTTATTATTATTTATTGTTGGTTCCCCGCTTCCTATAGAGTATACTTGAACCAGTACGACACTACATTGCCTGATCTAAAGGCCTTCTACGTATCTTAATAAGCCAAATCATAACTGCATTGGATCTCTATGAGCGAAAACGAATTGGAAGCACAGAAGTTGTCACGGACACCGTTGCAAAGCATGTAAAAAACGAGAATATTCGAAGAAAACCCCAACTCAACCACTTCAATCACTTGATCATGCTTCCCAAAAACCATATCAGCTTTGGAACTGTCTAGAAATAGTTCGTTGGTTATATCAATCAAAAATTTCCAAGACAATATGTCTGGGACTGAAAAAATCTTACCTCACATCCCATGGGCCTGACGTGAGTCCAAAAAATGTCTAGAGCGTTTTCTCCAACTCTGAGGCCAATTCCCTGCCAAATTGCTCAAACATATCTATCGTCATATTCTTGGCCAGATTTGATACCAGATATTTTCTGAACTTGTCGGTCGACTTGTGGAAAGTTTGTAGCTTCTCAGCAGTACAGTGCCTGATGAGATGACTATGCAATAGCTTTCGGAGAGAGTCATTGTTGGCCGCGGTTTGGACCTCTGCCATAGCTTCTTGAATAATTGCTTCTTCGGCACTCATTGTAATGACTGTGAAAAGGATAGAGAAGTAGTTCAAATCGAAAGATGGAATATGATCGTTGGAACGTTCTCTGAGAGATTGTTAACGTGTCGGTGCCTGGACGGAGAATAAGTGAGGGTAGATCTGACCGGAACTTTATAGCCTTCAAAAAATGTATGCAATTGCGAGATCTAAGATATTCGGAAAGGCAAAAATTGCTAGAATGCCCTCCTTGTTGAGCGATGTAGCCCAGAGAAGCAAGAGCGCCTAACAAGCAGACAGCGTGTACGGGTACATTGCGGTCGTTATCCGTACAACTATCAGATCAGTGCCAGAGATCTTCAGCCTCGAAGGCTGAAGACATATTTGCTTGCTTTGGTCGGGAATTGGGAGGTGGTCTAGGGCACGAATCTCATAGTAGTCCCCGAGGTAGTCAGCAGTTCATTGTCTGATTAGGGTATTGGGCGTGGTTGCATTGACATGGAGAAGACATGAAACAAACAAAAAAGGTGGTAAGGGGTTCACGAAGTCAGCAGATCAGAAGCGGTGTGGATTGGTGTGCCTCATACAAAATACATCCTGCAGGAAGGCTCTTTACTGGACATCAGCATGAACGTTTGCAGATAATAAAATTGCACATTTGCGGACACACTGCATATCAACTGGGGGTATGCCAGCAGAATGGCCGACGTGTTGCCACGCTATCGGGCCACGGAGAGTTTGCCCTTTATCTTCTTTATGCAGCGCAAGGCTGAGCGTTGTGTCTGAGTGTGTTGATTGGCCAATAGTTCAGCACTGCATTCAGTTGCTTGCATGTAATATTTCGGGCAGACGATAAGTAGTGATGTCATCGTGTTTCATCAAAATTCCAAATTTCTTCTTCACATTAGCAGATACTGAGTCAGGCGCATATCGACAGTAACAGGGGGTGAGCATATCTGGCGAACTCAACCTTCGAATCGGCCACATAAAGCCGAACATGGAGGCAGATTTGAAGAGCAGCGACCGAAACTCCCGACATCAGGCATCAAGACAGCCTGTTAGGCTGCCTCAGAATATGTTGTCAGGAAGAACTGTACTCATTTGTAGGCCATATATCGCCATACATTGGGAATAGAAGGTTGCTTCTCCGCGGTTGCCGCGCAACGTCGGGGGAGAATGTTATACATGCATGATATCATAGGTGCCCCGCCGCGAGCCCCGCTCTGTCCCCACCTGTCAGTTGTCGCTTTCTTCGATACTTTGTTCGACAAAACACTCTTCGGCACCCAAAATCATCTCAGCCGCTTCATGAGTAACGCCCTGCAGCCTCTGTACTAGCATGGAAGCCGGCTACACGATATTTGGGCTCCTCAACCCTCAGTCACGCGCACACGATATATGGCTACCTTATCAGCGTATTGTGTGCTGGCAACATTGCGGCGACGACGTTAAAGATGTCGGGCCGAAGGCAGAAAAGATGGTCGAATACATCGAGTCCACAACATAGCCAACATTCAAGAGACTAGTAATAATTACTTCCATTGCCAGGGTTTCAGTCATGGGTTCGGAGTACAGTGATGAGTATGATGGGTACGAATCCTCAAGTGTCGGCGACGAGCAGGAAGATACTATCAATGAGATTGTTGCCGAGGTTGTCGACCAGTTTCTCACCGAATTCAGTAGACATCTCGGAATCCAACAGCCCGAAAACTCATCACTATCGCGCTCGTTGGCGCCCAAGATACCCGAGACTGAGGAAGAGTATCGAGAGTATGTCTGGAGTTACATCGAGCATTATCTTCATTCGTATTACCAACCCGGGGATCCATACGTGGAGGAACTGGTAAAGAGTGCGGCTGTTCGCGCCAAGGATCTCACACAAAAATACGACTTGGAACCCGGGACAACGCCGAAGTTGGCCGTTATGGCCTTGTACGACTTTGTGATTCTCTGCGGTACGCTTTCTATCCCTTCAACAGATCCCCGATTCCCACGCTAACCTTTGAGTTAGATAACAGCAGTTCAATGAAAATTAAGAAGGGTGCTCGTATACGGGCTCTCGAAGATACTTGTCAACGTGTTGCCGAAATTGCCAGCGCTATACAAGACCAGGACGTGTATCTTCGGTTTTTGAACAGCACAGATGATCGGCACCTGAATAAGCTGTCACCAACTGAGATCAGAAACCACATGAAGAAGGTCAAATATTTTGGGTGGACCAGACTGGGAAACGCGCTGAAAACCAAGATTGTCCAGCCTCTCATCTTCGACCCATTGGAGAAAGGCCTTTCTGCAAAGCCGGTCATTACTATCGTCGTAACAGATGGGCACGTGAGTGTTACCAACCTCCCGCAAAGTTGTTATCGGGCTAACCAATACATGATTCACGTTAGCCAGATGGTGAGGATGAGAATTGCTTTGGTGAGACCATCTTGGAGTGCAAGAAGAGATTGACCCAGCTTTCCAAGCAGCCAGCGGGTGCAATATTTCTCATCTCACGGGTTGGCAATGATGCAAATGCAGAGAATTTTCTAAGTAACCTCAGGGTGAACAAGGAATTACAAGAGATGCTCTATTGTTGCCAAGACCAGCTAGATGAGCGGCGGGAGGTGTTCCGCAGAGCTGGAGGAGATAAACAATATTCGTCGTATGTAAGTATACCCTATTTTCCTTCTGCCGAATATAGGAATGTCACAATCTCTAACATCTTGGTACAGCTGATTGACTTGTTCGTCTCTGCATTGGATAGCCAGACTAAGTGAATTAGGTCATGGTGACCTTTACTTTTTCGCATGAGTGCATTCCTTGTAGATAATTCAAATTCAAACTGCCTTCTCGTATGTTACCGTATTTTCATCGTACTGTATGTTCAAGGAACAAATAAGTCAATACTAATCACCTGACGATGTATGGAAACCACGTCGGCTTCTTCTGCAGAAATTGTGGAAGCAAGAACAGCGATACTGCAGATGCAATGCAGCCGTAACTATGTCGCGAGGGCTGTGCTGCAGGAAGCTATCGCCCGAAACCACCCAATACTAACGTAGATGTGATGAGCCGGTCTCTTAGTGTGATGCTTAGCTGAAGGAATAATCAGTGCCAAACACTAAGTATATCCACACTCTAGATCTATCTATCAATCTATATCCACATTCCAGACATCAGAATATTAGTATGATGCCAGGACTTACGTCCTGAAATATTCTTCTCTGATTACATCATAGTTTTTTATATGTATTTTTAGTCTTTCCCCTATAAATTCACAGAAACGCTCCCCGTGTACCATTCGTCACTTTCATCCCCTTTGTGATGAAACTCCATATTAAAGGTAATTTCTCACTTGCTTCTATATATTTATGGAATAGAGTTCTCAAGTTCTCATATTTACAACACCATTCAGGCTGAAAGACGACGAAATTATTACAGCTATGTTATAATACCATACGAATATTCATAACAAACACATAGTGAACAATTATCGTTAAGGCTGTCATTATGCACTTCACTCTGACACTACTGCTCCGAATTTCAAATAGTCAAGGAGAATATTTCTAGCTTGCTGAGCACTGGCACTTCTGAAATCTAGCAAATTCGTGTCGAGCTCGACATGCGATCATACAGTCCAATAAACTACAATGACATAACGGACCATTCCGAACCTTCACCTTAGCACAGTAAGCAAATATCATGATTATTTCAGTGAATTATATAATACAAACACCCCAGTCTAAAAGAACTAGTGATCTGTACGAACGGGAAATGCCGCGATCTAAAACCAGAGCTTGTCCCACCTACGAATTTTCCTAAGGCTGGCTCAGTAGGGTCATCGCACGCCTCTTATCTCGCTGCAACTCACACAAGGTCATCAAATATTGACTGACAACCTGCATATCTGCTCCCTACCCTTCAAAAGATGTCGATAACTATCCACTCAAAAGTGGTCGATCTTGACTGCTTAATACCGAGAGTCGTTGACCGCGAAGGCGAAGGTATCTACTGCAAACTTTTTTTTACTAAATCCAAATACGCTCTGCTAACGTATGATATCAGATGAAGATGTCCAAAAATTCATCCCCTGGGTCTTCCAACAATCAAACCTCATGGACTGGGACTGCACACAGAGCTGGCCGGAAGAAGAGCTTCTCTTCAAGGCCTTGTTCGCTCAACTCGTCGACTATATAGAAGAGCAAGGACATGGAAATATGATTTCAGAAATTATGTGCAAGGAAACCGGGATATCGAATATATTGAAACCCAGCGAGACAATCACGTTACCTAGGAAAAGCTGGAGGGTCGGTAACAGGTCGAATCATGTGCAGTTCCTTCACACGCAGAGCCATGTTTTTGGGGACTTGATGCGAAGCATCTATCGTAGACTTGAGAATTTGGATGATGAAGCACCAAGGCTTGGGTAAGTGATACATACACTTTATATTGGATGAGTATAGTTAGCGTGATGGTAACATATCTCTAGTGCCTTACCATTCCCACGGGATGTGAAATATGTGGTGGGGAGGTTGCAATATGCTGCCCGATTAGAGGGAAATGTTCATGTTGGGACACGGGATGAATTCATACCGATAGTCTCCTTTACCGGGGTAAGTTTGACGGTTACTCCTTTTGGAACGGTGGGTTTTCTAATGGAATACAGTGGTACAAGGGACAAACTTGGAACGATCTTTTGACAGATACAATTTGCACTATGTTGGGGCATCTGAATATGAATCTGACACATGGTTCACATGGCGGGGTCCAAAGCCAGGAAGTCTTTGTTGTTGGTCTCCATGGGCCATATCTTCATATATGTCGTGGATTCTTTCCGCAAGATCGGATAACTAGGGTATATCAACATGGATACTCGGATGAGGAGGAGTTTGAATTGGATTTTACGCGGGGGTATAACCTATATCTAAAGGAAGATTGGCTTGAAGCTACACGTGCGTTGACCAGATTGCTTCGATATCTTCTTAGTGGAAAGGCAATGGTTGCGGCTGTGCACAGAAAGGAGTAGGATGGATGGGGTGATGTCTGGCTTCATTAGATAGATTGGCTGTTTGAATAGAATCAAGCTGCAACTAGTAGATCTGATTATGCATTAGACAACGTTGTACACCCGTGACTTGCTTGTCACGCAGACTTTTTGATTTTATTTCTCCAGCTA